GTGTGTGTGTGTGTGTGTGTGTGTGTGTGTGTGTGTGTGTGTGTGTGTGTGTGTGTGTGTGTGTGTGTGTGTAAATATCCAGAACTGATATTTTTGTAGCTATAACAGAAACTGTATCGCTTAGGCTAATGAGGCAAATATTATATACAAATATTCTCCTTCAAAAATAACTTGAGAGATTAACTGGGGATTAAGTCTTATATCACTCACTCACTGCCGTTATGCCCACTGGCACACAGGACAGCAACAAAGGACCTCCATAGCTGTCTGTCTTTGGCCAGCTTTTGGATGGAACTCCAGCTGTGGCATTAGCCTTTCATCTCTGTCTCGACAGTATATCGCCATGTTTTTTTCTGTCTGCCCCGCTTGTTCCTACCCTCCGGTGTCCAGTGGAGTGCCGTTTTCGAAACCGAGTCTCATTCCCTCCTGATGACCTCCTGACCTAAGTCTTATATGAGGGATCCTTCTCTCAGCATTGGACTGGAACCAGCTAGGTTCCGATGGAGGCTCATGAAGGAAATGAAACTTTACAAAAGGGATAAATTTCATTTGCATTTGAAAAGACTCCACAAATTAGCCTCAATTGTAGGCTAGTTCCAGTCCTATACCAGGGTATGAATATGGTCCATTCAGAAACTGACCAACTGGAATCAGCTCTATATCATCATAATAAGACTTGTGTTTTTTTTTTTTTTCACCGTTTAAGAATCTTTTTGAATATGAAATTAAAGCCTTAATATTAGGTAACATTTTCTTTCAACAGATCGCACAACATTGTTTCATTATTTTCAAGTTGTACAGACATGTTTCACAAGGCTGAACTCGTGTATTCTTCAATGTTGTTAAAAGTGTGACAGGCCTGACACGACTCCTGCGGGTTTCGTGATGTTGTATATAATTAGTTTGACCTTTATAGTTTTGCTCTAACGAGTATATCTTTTAGAGAGCTGCTTCTTTTGTAAGAGATAATGGGTGGTTCCCGAAAAATCTCTCGAAGCAGGGGTTGTTTCTCAATGATATGCCATTTGCTCATTAAAATCTTTTTGAGCACTAATGGGTTGTATTTTGTGACGAAAGGCAATATGATTTTTTGCACCTTCTGTTTTTCCTGTAGCGCGTATTTTCTCTCTAAGAATTTGACTTCTGCGAGGGTCTTTTCAACTATGTTGTTTAGATAGCCTCTGTCGTGTAATTGCGTAATTGAAATTATTAATGCTTTCTTCAAAAAGTGCCTTTGAAGAATTAGTTCTAAGAAGTCTGAGGACTTCCCCTTTGATGAAGCCCTTCGCCACACCGGCGGCGTTACAAGAAGAGAAATACGTGTACTGAAAGGTTTCAGTAGGTTTGAAATGTGTGCGAATGTCTAGGATTGACTCCTCGTAGAATCTTTCGCCTTTAAATACTGTAGTGTCTAGGAAGTTTGTATCTTTCTCTGATATATTAGCCGTGAATTTAATGGTAGTATGATGCCTGTTGGCTTCTAAGATAAAGAGATCAATCTCTTCTTTTGTTGTATCCCACAAAGAAAATATATCATCGATGTATCTTTTCCACTCGATTGGTTTCGTTTTGCTCTTGTTGATGATTTCGGTTTCAACTGCGGACATAGAGATATTGGCAAAAGCAACTGCCATTTTAGTACTCATCGCAGTGCCGTGAGTCTGAAGGTAGTCTCTTCCACAAAATTGGAAGGAGTTCTCCTGAAGTATAAGTCTAAGCATTTTCCTTGGCGCATTGGTTGGTATTGG